CAAGTGAAAGAATTCAGAATGTATCCAAACAAATTGTTCTGCCTTCAAGTCAAAAGTGAGGTGACTTCACTTTGAATCAGAAGTCTCAAAAGAAGTTTGTTTACCCAGTTCTACCCAAAACTGTTCTGAAATGTGCAGGTAATTGTGCTGGGTTATGCAACAAAAATATTTTAGGAAAATGGGAAGAGGAACTAGGGAATACAGCAGCTTAGAAGTAGTTATGACTCCCACCTTACAATATTTAGAACAATGAGAGGCATGAGCAGCAGCACAAGATCATAAAATGGCTAATCCAAAAATGTTGCTGTAACTGCAGCTCTCTTAGGGTTCAAGCTCTTACTTTAGCCTAATCATTGTGCCTCTATGGGTCAATTTTACTGAACTACAAGAAAGCAGCTCAGTCACAAAAAAGCCAGAATTGGAATTATTCTCCCTTTTCTACTTTTTGAAAGGAAACATAGAAATTGTGATGGATCCCAGACTTTTTCAGTATTAATGTTAAAAAATAAACTATAATACACCAATACAATGTTAAAGATGTACCAAAAGAAGGATCGTGCAAAAAGGACATCTCAAAAACAGAAAAAAGTACAGAGGCTCCAGCAACAACTTTAACAGCAGAAAACCTCCTCTGGCTGTTGATTTACAAGCCATAATCTCCATGTTCATGCAGGCTTCAACACAACTTTCACCTTCTTTAGTCAGGGGTCTCCTCACGACATACTGCCTCACGTCATCCTCCTTAGCCAGGTTGAAGAGCTTGCGGATCTTGCTGGCCCTCTTGGGACCAAGTCGGCGAGGGACAGTGCTGTCGGTCAACCCGGGAATGTCCTTCTCACCTTAATGGCAAAACATCAGAACGTGAATGAAATCTGACCACAGAGCAAATTTTCAGTTCTACAAAATTTAAACAGGACATACATATTCAACTCAAAGACTGAAGGGAAACTATAAGATCATGGTGCTTGCTTTCTTTTTTCAACATAGCACCAGTTACAAGGCATCGTTTACTGACAAGGTAAGATTTAGCCATTTTACAGACCACCATCTGTTTTTTGACAACAGATTTGATATTATTTTCAGCTCCGAAGAGTAGAATAGATAATCTCTGCCTCCGCATCTTAAGGGCAGGAACAAAATAATTCAATATAGTCAGTTCTCCTGAAGGGGAGAAATATGAAACAAAACACAGAAGATCTAAACATTTCAATTAAACATTATAAAAACTGCAAGTCGTCACAGTGAGGAAGCATTGCAGTTCAACCATCCACTGTCACTGGGTCTGGTCGCATCTGGAAAGCAGCTCCACAGTTACTCTGGCAACACACTATCCCCTCTAATTTGACTATTAATCAGTCAAAAGAGACTCCATGGTGTGCCATCCATATATGCAGCAAGTCATTGACCTACATAGGCTAACATTACTGATACAGCATGAATAATACCTTTCTTGACGATGACCAAGTTCAGAACGCTGAGGTTGGCATCAACGATGCAACCCCGGACAGACTTGCGCTTGCGCTCGCCGGTCCTGCGGGGACGGTAGCAGGAGTGGCCCTTGCTGAGCAGCAGACGCACACGGCCATGGGTTAGTACCCCCTGTTTCATGGGGAAGCCCTGCTTGTCGTTGCCGCCGCTGATGCGCACCACATAACCCTAGACAAAAACAGTTTTTAACATGTGCAGAAGAAGGCAGTTTCCTTTCAGAATGTCTTAATCTTATACGATTCCCAACAAAGAATATCACTAATCCACAACCAAGAGTTTTCACAAGTCTCTAATTAAATATCAGACTTATTAAACCCTTTTGAAAGTCATTAAGTCAAGACCAACATAAATAACAAATCAATTTAAACTAACAAATTGAATAATTTGGGTTGGAGTTTTTTGACTGACATGTGGATCTATTACTTTTGCAACAAGACTGTTTACACTTCTTCACCTTACCCTATATGCATAGCTTCATAACAGTCATCTTTCAGTCAAACATTAAAATCCCTAATCAAGTCACACCTTAAATATACAAAGCTATGTACAAGTTTACTTTGTACATAATGCATACATGGACATATTTAGGATTTCTTAAAGTGTTAAAATTGAGATATTTAAATGTGACGCTGACTTTTGGATGCTATAAAATCTGCAAATCTGATCACACATCACTTTGTTGTTCCATCCTATTGTAATCCAAATTTCCACCATAAACTAGAAGAAAAAATATATATATCAATGCAACACTGCACAAAACAAAGTTTGTGTTAATGACAGAAATGCTTAAGACCTTTATTCTTGCCAATTTCCTACAGTCAGCCTCTCAACCAAATACCACCTCACTCACTAAATTGTGGTGTCTACTTCAAAAACATGTCGCGATACATCCTGCAATCTTAGATGTTCCATTTATTGCAACAAGTCATTGGGAGAGCACAGCTGTTTCAATCTGCCACGATTAACTGGGCTGATCGCATCTGGAAAGCTCCTCTACAGTTGCTCTGGCAACACACTGTCCCCCCTTAAAGACTACAGAGCAGTCACAAGGGTCTCCGGTGTGCCATGATGATGTGCAATGGACAGAGAGAAACTTACCTTCCACTCATCTCCCAGAGGGTCAGCAGCCACCTCAGTGGCCATACGCTTCTCATAAAAGATGCGCAGCTTCCTCTCATCATCAACTTCAATCAGCTTCTGGCAGCCGGTAGCAGGGAATGAGATGTTCAGCTAAAAAGCAATTTGAAAGAAACAAGCGTTAGAGCTTTTGACCATCATAGAGACACACAGACAACACGCCAAAGATGCAGATTTGATAACTAGGGTAATCAATAACATGAATGAAACTTCTAAACATCTGTGTTAAATATGTTCTAGAAATAGTGCCACAGTTTCAATTGGCGAATGAGTAAAACAGAGGCCTGTTAGCTTCTTTGCCGGGTCCAGTCAAAGCTGAAAAGACTAGCTGTGTGTACTCTTTACAAGAACATACCCAGAATATTGGATTAAACTGTTAAAAAGCGTGTATCCCTCGAAACAATAACGGAAATTTCACAAATCCTTTTCAATGTAAGTAGTTGCACACTGTGCGGCCATGTTTCTACAGCTCACTTTCTGACGGGCTAGTCAGCTAGCTCGTCACAATCAAAGCTCATCCTCAACTACAAAGCCACAATACCTGCATTAAACCAAACGTTTTAAAAGTTTAACATGATAGCTTTATTTCAACTAATATATTTTAACGATACTGGCTTTCAAAAACAAAATAAAAGCAAGTCATGGTTGTACCTTCATTTTGCCAAACCGACCCAACGACGGTCCGCCAGGGGAAAGAGGCAGGATATCCGCTCCGTGATCTCACATAGAACAAAATAATCTCGCGATAGCTAGATGGCCGTCATGAACCACCCTGCTAACAAGTCAATAAAGTAAATTGAAATGAAATAAAGTAATTTTATTTCATTTGTTCTTTTTTATCATCAATAGACGTCAGTCTTAGAAAAAGACAAGCGCATAACAATTAAACCTACATAACATGAGGTTTAATGCTGCTACACAAATAAAAATACAGGCAACAATTAAAATCATACAATGTTACATGATTTGTCACTTTTCTCTTTATCTTTTAATAAATTATTGACACTTTTATGTAATAATAGGTTTTATTTATTTATTGTCATTTATATTTCAACCTTATATTTTACTTTTGTGAAACACTTGATATGCAATATGTAGAAAAATATATATATTTCGAAGTGTAATTGAAGTCAAATTCATTTTTGTGCGCACAAAACTTTGCAAATAAAGCCGATTTTGATTTGTTACCAAAATGTTTTATATACATATGTATTTGCGAATATTTACCCTTGGCCCTCAAACTTAATTTAAAAAATAATGATGAAAATACTAAGATAAAAATATGATTCAATATTTTCTGTTTTTATTCATAATGATTACTTTAACATTCATATTGTCAGTACTTGCAAGAACATAATGCTACAAACAATATTGACCAGTGCAGGGCGCCAGAGAGCAGATTAGTTCGTGACATTGTAGCCTACAGAAGTTGGAAAGTATTTCAATTAATACAATTAACTTAAAATGATTGCAAATGTTTAAAAAAGGAATGTGAAATGCATGAAAGGGCTCAGACTTTCACCATTAGCTCTCCATCGGGGTCAGCGCTATCCATCCGTGCTACAAGATCAGTATTGTTTTCCATTTTTATTCCTGACGGTGGGGTCTCTGTGTGCAGGTGAGGTTTTCTGAACCAGGTTACTGTGGGACTGACTGAGTCAGCATAAAGTGAAATGAGCATTTTGAGTTTTAAAATACCATATAAGTTTGTTATTTGGCTTTTGATGGTTACATTTACAGATTTACCTGTGGAAAATTAATGTAACGGAAGCTTTTAACGCAGAAATCTTCGCATTTTGTTTGAAACTTGTGTTTTTATTGAACCAGCAATCAGAAAACATGCTTCTGAAAAAAAAAAAAAAACTTCCCTTATTTTTAGCGTAATTTTCCCTTAACAGCTGTGAAAGTATGGAGAGCCATATGAAAGTTGCACTTGGCAGGTGAAGTGAGCGGTCTTCTTGACTTCATCGAAGTATTTTCGACCCCCTGTTGCATCAGTCATTAACCATGAGTTTTTGTGCACTTACAGACACAAACATACACACGCACACACACACAGAGAGAGAGTACTAGTGAGAATTACGGCCATTGCAAGAAAGGATATAAAAATGTGTGACTTATTTTTTTCTAGTGGCTCTAATAGTCTTTCGTAATTTTCAGGCTATTTTACATAAACATGAAAAACTGATTAGTGTCACAGCTGTTAGAAACATTGGCTAGCAACCCACTTGTGGAACATTGAATTTATTAATTACGTTATATAAGTGATTATAAATTCTAAGTTATTGCTATAGCAACTCACTAAATAAACCATATACTTTTGTAGTTTTTGTTGTTGTTGTCGTTTAATCATGAGTGTTAAAAAAAAAAGAAAAACATCACCAAACACTTCCGGTTTTACTGAAGAAGGAAGCTGGGCGGAGTGAGTCCTCTTGCACAGTGTGAACACTCTTTGAGGCCAGAGTGAGCAGCTGTCAGAGGACGAGGCAGAGCGTCACGAAGAGCAGAGAAGAGGCTTTGTGGAAGGAAGGACTGAGTGAAAATGCAGCACAGGAGCGAGCCCCGACATCAACACTTGTCCACAGTCCGTCTCAGGATCCAGACTTTAAACTGCTAGCGTGTCGCCGCCGAGCTGGCTCATACCACGGACTTTCCCTCGGCTGTTGTTTTTGTTTTGCTCTAATCTGCTGGAGGATCACAGACTGAACAGCGCTGCTGTCCACTCGACAGGACTAGTCCAGACATGAGCAACGTTAACCCGATTTTCTGGGACCAGTTGCAGGCTGGCAGCTCCGATGTCGACTGGTGTGAAGGAAATTACCTCATCTACCCCAGCATCGCTGAATTTTACAACACGGTCGGTATGAAGTCTGTCGAGTAAGCAGTGTTTTGGATAATGCAGTTTTGTTTACAGCCGGGGTTGCTCTGCTTTTGTTTCGCTCTGTCATTAACTGCCTTCTCACACTTCATCAACACACCGCCGTGTTACCAATAATAAAGGCTCCTATGAGTTAAAGAGACTTTTTAAAAGTTAATCTGCTTTAAATGTTTTCCTCTCCAGTTCAGCCGCTCTGCTGGACCCAGTGGGCAACACGTTGTTTTGATGCCACGATGCTGTTTCCTCAAAGTGTTGTTTTGTTATTTCATTTCAGATCAGCAACGTCTTGTTCTTTGTTTTGCCTCCCATATTGATGTTCTTGTTCCGTGAATATGCCCAGCATTTCAACAACGGGATCTACCTCATCTGGATCCTGCTAGTGGTGGTCGGTAAGTGAATGACCTCCTCAACTTCATAGTGAGGATGAGCAGCCAAGACAGCTTCAGTGCTTTTTTGTTTTGTTTTGTTTTAAAGAAGATTAGCAAATAGTTTTTATTTGTGGGAAACCACAGGTGAAAAAAAAGCAGCTTCTTCTCTGTGTACATGCAGTTTCTGTTATTCATACAGGCTGCTGAAAAGTATTTTGAAATATGGAAAGTTATCTGCTTAATCTGCCTGAGTGTCCTCTGTGTGCTGATATAATGTCAGACTGGCAGGATACGAGTTGAGATCAGAACCCACATCTCAGGGTGGGGGCATTTCCACCATCTGCTCCTTGATTCATTTCGTCTTCTTTGTTTCTCAAAAATCATTTTGTAAAACGCAGGGAAGCCTCGATTATGTAACTGTGCTGCAAACTACGCCGTGTTACTCATACTTTTATATTTGGTTCTGGTGGGGTGTGTGTGTTTCTCTAGATAATCTTCTTAAATTTAATTATTTAAAAATGTAAGCTGCACAACATACTGAATTGCATTATTACAATTTGAAATGCCTGCATGGACAGTATGTTTCTTGAAAATGTAGCATTCTAATAATAAACTTGACCTCCTTAATGAACTTTCACTGACTCTGGTATTCAAGTATATTTTTAATTAATAAAGCTCACAATAAATAATTGGGGGGCATGATATAATTGTTAATTTTCAAAAATGAACAATTAAAATCAGAGTTCAGCACAAATTTCTAAAAACACCTGATGAACATGCTGATCTTTGTCCACTGGTCTGAGGTCCTGTTACCTACTGACACAGATGAAGACAAAAGGAAACGTGATTGTGCTCGTTTTCCACTTTAGATGCGATTACTGCTACATGATTAACGAAGCCTGCTCAGTGTTTCCATGGGATGTTTTTTCTCACGGACTGAGGTCACCTCTCAGGAACCGGTGAGGGGAGGGCTGGGTGGAGGACTTGGTGGTGGTGGTGGGTGGTTCTGGTTATCTTTGCTGACTATGCAACCTGCGTGTTTTCAAACAGCGCTGGCACCCGGCCTCCATTCACACACAACGGCTCCATTCACTGCTGTGATCTATAAATCAGAGGAGCATTTTAACAGTATTTGCTTAAGAATGAAGCTATGATCTACTAGCTTGATATTTGTTCTGGGAAAAAAAAAATAAAATAAACATATTGATTTCCTTTTCAGAACAAGACGTACAATTTATAAAACATTTGTAAATGTTTATACTTACAACTACATTGTTTTTAACCCTCCTCTTCTGCAGTTTACTAGAGCTACTTTGTATAATTTATAGTGTGTCAGAGGCTCCATTTTTCAGCTCATTTATAAACAACTTGCCTTACAGCTAAAGGGAAAAGAAGAGATCAGGAGGCGTTTGGTTCCAGTTTTCAGAAACAGGGCAAATTCATAGACTAATAACAAGCAGAATTTAAGGTTTTTTACTCACTCTTTTTATTTCAGTGTGTAGTATTATAATTTTAGGACACTAAGCTTAAATTTCAATGTTGTTATAGGCAGGACTAATTTTACCGCATTACATAATAAAGTCTCAACAATATTAGCTTATACAGTGTAATCCAAGTTGTAAAATATTGTAACTCTTAAGTAGAGATGGAAAATATTGCATGAAGTCATGTTGTTTTATTAAAACCTTCTTCACAATATGTAATATGTATCTTTTTATACTACATGAAACCTTAAGGAGTGTTCATTCAGCTGACAATTAGTGTGCAGCAACAGGTGGGGAAGGGGAATTGGGGCATTACTCAGTCATTTTGGAACTGTCTCTAGTATCTTATTATAAGGACTTTAAACCATAGGGGCAGATTGATGAGAATGTTTTGAAAATTTAATCTTTTAAAAAAATCTTTCTTTAATCCTTACCCCTTACATTAGTAGAATCTTTGTACACGACTGGAGAATAAGAAAAGAATCCTATGGGTAGCATTTCAGCTATGTTGTGACTGTGTCCCATTAAGAATATTTTATTAGTTGATGACTTAATGGTGTTAAAATAAGCATAAAAGGCTTTTATAAATGGATAATATATGCAAAAAACTCAAAGTTACAAAATAAAACGTTTTTTCAATTGGCATTCATAGTTCATCTTATAATGTAAAATAAAATTAGTATGCAGCAGCTGTTCCATAGGTTGTCTGAGGTCAATATTTCAGGTTTTAGTGATTCATAAAATGACCTAATTGTTTTGACAGCTTGGTGGATAAGCAGATATGTGGCCATAATAAAATCTCTAGATTCTGGTCACACCACTCCTTTGTGATTTTGTAACTTACCAGTTTTGAACTTTCCACTCAATGTTTAGTTCCAACAACAACAGAAGTTGTTTTAAAACGGAAATGTTCTTCAGTTACTGTTCGCACTTGTTACCTTTATTTATCTTTGCGACTTTCTTTCTCACAGGCATCGGATCAACGTATTTTCATGCCACACTCAGCTTCCTCGGCCAAATGCTGGATGAGCTGGCCATTCTTTGGGTGCTCATGTGCGCCATCGCCATGTGGTTTCCCAAGAGATACCTGCCAAAGATGTTCAGGAGAAATCGGTATGTCGATCATTCCAAACGAAACCACTAAGACGCAACGAAACGCGCCTTGAGATGTAAGGAAAAGGCTAATTGGTTTATTTATTTATCTTTTTTTTAAGAGACAGATGTGGAGTTTACTGTGGGTCATTGGCTTCTCTTATGATGCATCTACTGTTATGACTCATTACATCTAAATATAGGCACATCCAAGATAGCTGACACCAGTAAAAGCAGCATCACATGTCTGCACTTCTTGTATTGTCACAGAGACTTGATGGCTGCTCTCTCCTGCTGCAGGCTGTCGCTTAACATTTCCTCTGCTTATTGCTCATCGGCAGCTGAACCAAGTGCATGTGAATTATTTGAATCTGGTGGTCTTTCTTTTTCTGAAGCAGGTAAAAAAGATCCAAAGTTGGCTAGAATCACATGGAGAGAAAATGAAACAACAGCAAAACACAAAGTAGAACTACAGCGAAAAGGTCTAATTTAATGTAACACCGCTAGAGTAAACGACCTGGATTTGCTTAATACAAGTCAAATTATTTTGTTCATACACTTCTAACATACAGCAACGCATTATCAACACAAACTACAAGTGGATAAACAGTTTGGTCAGGTTGCCATCCAGAGATTGTTTCATATTGTTGCTTGTTTTTGCTTCTTTGTGTAGTTTAAGGTTTAAAGTGGTCATCGGCATCCTGTCTGGGATCACCACCGGACTGGCCTTTGTTAAACCTGTGGTCAACTCGCTGTCGCTCATGACTCTGGGCATCCCCTGCACAGTGCTGCTTATCACTGAGCTTAAAAGGTGAGTAGAGATTATCTGATCCCAGCGTACATTACACAACATCACACGACAAAACGTGAACCTTCTGCTCTGCATGACTCAGTCAGAAACAAGAGTAAAATTTGTATGAGCAATAAATGCTACATAACATCTTAATGAAAATGATCGGCTTTGTTTGTGCCATTTCTATCGCTGACTCATTTCCAACTCTAATGTGTTTTTGTGTCTGTTCCATTGTTTCTCTGCGCTTGTGAGTCATGCTATGACTGCGTCGGTTTAGGAATTTGTCATTCAAATTCATGCTGCAAAATATTTTTTTGAGTTTTTAGTTGAAGTCCTTTGTTCCTGTCATAAATCATTCACTGTTTTGGTATCGCTGTCGCTATTGAATCAGTATTTAAGCAGAATGGAAGCTAATAATGTTCAGGAATTTGTCTATCATTTGCTCATTGTTTCCTTTAAGTAAATGTGGTCATGTGACTTCCAGACATATTCCACAGGAAATATTCCAAATTGTAAATTCCCCATGTTAGTTTTGGGAATTAACTAAAATTAAGAGGTAATCTAAACAAACTGTATCATGATCAGACATAAACATCAACATTCTATTTGCCATAAGTGGACATCTATGCATAATGGGTAAAAATACCTCCAAGTCAAAATTCTATCAAGGTTTAATTACTTTGTCAAACAATAAATTCTTTCATTAAACAACAAAACATGAATTGTTAATTTTTTGTAGTTTTAATCATGGGTCATATTCTGTATTATTCTTTAAGAGCTGACTGGTCCAAAACTTGAACAGCAGTCAAACTTTGGAAATAATGTGGGATTTAAAAGCTTATGAAAAAAATGTAAAATTACACTTAGATTAGTCTCAAGATTTGAGCATTTTTCTAATTTATTTATGTGCAGTGGCTAAGTACCTGCATTCAAATGGCACACAATGGAAATACATTAGGATGAAATAACAATAGGTGGGTGTTGAGTGTTGAAGAAAGCACAACACTGCTTGGGTTTAGGAGTCTCTTTATGCCTTAATGATTTATGGATCAAAAGTTAAATGGCTAAAACAAACAAAAAATTCCTTCAAAAGTAGAAAAAAGCTGGACTGAAAATGAGTGAAAAAAAAATCCAAAAGAGAAGGAGTGAAACCTCCTGAAACCCAGAACAACCACTAATCAAGACTTCTTAGATCTAGGAATGAAACATGAAGGACAACTCGTCACTACGGCACAGTGCCGTATTTAGCAATAACATGAGATCAGATCACTGAGAAAACCCTAATGGCTTCACCGACTACAGCACAATAACACTTGATCTTCAATCTCCTGCAATTTTAATGTTGAAGGCACGTTATCTTATCCCGACTAATAGATTATGTTTACAATCGTACGTCCCTGCAAACACATTTTCAACAAACTCATTGTTTGTGTCAAAGAGAGACCCTGTCAGAGCCTCCAGGCATTTCCTCTGTCTCAGTATCTGCATGTTGTGCTTTTCCCCCTCAACACTTACTTACAAGCATCAGTCCTGAAACATTAGGTCACCTATTGTTTAATTTCTGGCTAATTCTTGACATTGCTGCAGCACCAGTCATCTGTTGAAGCCTCTTGTTATTTTGCAAGACCAGACAGAGTTCCTGTAGCCATGACTGATGGACTCCTGTCCTCAGAAAGAACATACTGTTTTGTTGTTGTTTGACTTTTCTACACTGTGACTCTTGGCCCCCCTTTGACGGAGTTCCAGCTGCACAAAAAAACAAAGTCCTCGGTGTCTCAGACGGACAATGTAACGCTTATTTAAGCGGAAAGTGTAAAAGCAGAAATTCTAGTCAGAGCTTTGCCATAAAATGTGTTGTCACTATCAGAGAAGATGAAGGGATGATGAAAAAGCCTGAAGATAAACATATGTTTTATTGCAATCGTGTAATCGCACACTAAAAAAAAACAAAAAACAAAAAAAACTAAAAATATATTACATTAAAATTTAAAACTATTGACAAATCCAACTTTTAGTTTGTCTACATTCTTCAAGAATGGAACATATATCATGATAGGAAGTTTTTATTTTTTATTTTTTTGTGAAGTATTTAAGCTGCAGTGGGCGTGCCATTTGTGAAGGCCATCAGGGGTTCAGTTTTCAACCTTGAGACCTTTGCTGCATTTCTTTCTCTCTCTCACTGCCCATTTCCTGTCTGATTACTCTGCATGAAAGCCACTAGGAAAACAATTTTCAAACAAAATCATTTCTGGTACACTAATTGCTACCATCGCATTGAATACTTCGTATGACTCCCCCCCCCTCTTCCCCGTTGCCAGTAAGACAGCTCTTAGTCTTCTAAAACATTTCATAAGGTTGGAGCCTACAGAGAGAGATCTTCAACAGCTTCTCTAATGATCTTTCTATATCATTTCTCATATTCAGTCCACTAGCAGAATCCATCAGACTTTTAAAGGTAAAATTACAGGTATTTCACAGAGTTTAAGATGCCACACACTCTCCCAAGATTAATGGTAGTTTTGGAAATAAAACAGGCACCACAGATTCTACATCATTGAGCAGTTGCCATTGGCTATTTTCAATATTAACCATTTGTTTTTTTATTTTAGATAGTAACTTTTAAGTTGTGACTTTGGATGGGAGAACAATAAAAACAGGTCAGGTATTTCTGCTTTTTCTCTCTCTGTCTCCTAAATTCTGCTGACTTTGAGTTACAAGAATAGTTTTTGAGTGTTTGCAATCAGAGCACTCAAACTAAGTTCTTCACATAGCTCCAGTCGCGCTCTTGACATCAAATATGCAATTTATAGCGTCATTAATAGAAAATATTTCCACGAGGTAAACAACTCCAAGGAGTTGCACTAAATAAGGTTTTTTCTTTCTCAAATTCTCCAGCACATTCAGCGGCGCTCCCTCCAAACGGGACTCCTTGTTCTGTCATTTTTTTTCTTATCTTCGTTTCTCCTGCAACATGAGAGGACAGCAGATATCCTGCAGCCTGTTGATAGTTTTCGTAGGCAGGAAGAGGTGTTTGCCAACCGAGGACAGTCTCTACATTAAGTTATGGAGGCCAAGTGGCGCAATGCTTTAAGAACAGTCAGAATTTTCTTCTATGGGAATACAAACAATTGGTGTATATCTGAGCGATAATGATGGTTTAATGACTTTTTTCCTTTTTTTATTCTAGTAGTTCCTGTTGCTAATGAGACACTGTTACCCCTTTCCTGTTTCCTTGAAACGGTTACATAATATAGAGACACTTTACCAGCAAGGCTGGTCAGCTGACTTTCTTCCCTTCATAAAAATGTAGGCAGAAAGAGTCAAGTATTTTAGATTTTTCTTTTTGCCACATTTTATGCCCGAACCACCTCAGCTGACTCCTTTCAAAGCGGAAGAGTGGCAGCTCTTCTTCAAACTCCGTCCCAGGCGATGGCGCTCCTTTCCCACTACAAAGATCCTTTTCATTCCAGCTTAAATCCACAATCTTTTTCTTCAGTCATGATCAATTCATGATGACCATTAGTCAGGGATCGGACCGATGGACGGGTGACTGCAAACATTTGCTTTTCAAGGCAAATAGGGTCATTTTTATAACATAATCAATAACTTTGTTACCTTTAGTTGTTATAAAAATGCTATAAATATCAAATATCACTTATTTAAATGATATAAAAGCAATTTTACTTCTTGATTTTAATGCCTTGAAATTTGGCCTCTGTCTCTTTAAAATCTCTTGCTCTTTCTGAAACTCTGCCTTCAGGAAATTATCACAACATCGCTTCTCTATTAACCCTTTAACAATGTTTTTATGAGCGTTACACTGAGAATTAGCTCAGAAACTGCAGCTTTAAGGAGGAGCTTTGCCTTGAAGGTGGCACTTGGTCCAACCAGGTGTTTTGGACAGTTGAATAGTTGCCATAGCAAATTAAAAGATTTCTCAAACATGCATGAAAGTATTAAGGCAACACTCCAGGTATGTTTTTGATGAGGGAATAACATAATATTATGATGAAAAAAGTTCATTTTACATAATACTCTCCCTATAAGTAAACAATTCCTTAATATTGATTTTTTTAAAGTACTAGTTCTACTGGCAGATTATTTAACTTATTACAATAAATTTTCCCATCCTATAAGTGAAATATTCTGCCGGTAAATTTTGATCAATATTAAGGAATTATTTACTAAAACAGGCTACTATGTCTTGCTGAAAAGTTGCTTATAAGTTAGCTTTGGCTTTTTTTTAAAGTGCACTAAGACATTTGCACAAGAAACTTGACCAGAAATACCTAGTGAGTAATTTCTGGTTCAGAACTATGGGTTCATATTTAGAGGAGCTGATCCTCCCTCTTGCACTAAGAACAAGAGGCATCTTGTGCTGAAAATGGGACAATGCTTTGGGTAAACAAGGACCCGTTAGCCCTTAAAGAACATCCCCAGCACCACATACACCAACATGGACATAAACTCCCAACCAGAACAATAAAACTCTTGTAATCTGCTCAACCAAACCCACAGCTGGCGCTACAATTATGTCAGTGTGCACAATAAGCCTCGATGTGAACAAAGGTTAAAAACTAAAACCATGTTTCAAGTCCTGTTTGACACCTCATTCCTTAAAACAATGGCACCAAATAAGGCACCAGTGAAACGGTGCGACTCCACCAGAAGAGAAGCTGAAACATTGTCTCCGCCAGCGCACTGCTGCCGTCATCAGAACAGCTCTGTCACAGTCAGGCCTGCACGTCTCTGCCTCAGTGTCACAAGGATTTCTAAGGAGGACAACGCTAAGAATAGCTAATCAGTGGCACTCTGGATTAGCACGTCTTTGTAGGTCAGGCGATGTTTATTTACGTGGGGATTACATACAACTTTCCCTCTTAAACACCCACATGTGGCAACATCAGGGACTATTTAAGAAAAAGAACCTTCTTATTAGACACACAGTGGAATATTTTTTTCACCATGAAGTCACAGTCATACCAGAGTGCACCCTCTATGGTTTTGATACGTGAATAATATGGTCTGTAAGAGTAATTTAAATATAACCTCAAGAAAAAAAAAAAACAAAAAAAAAAAAACACACACACACAATACATCCCATGGCCCATGTATTTATTTCTTACTTATTACTTATTTCTATAACAGTTGAATCAAAATGGAAAGGTTTATGGAAAGTGAGTGAACCCAAAACTCTAGATTTTTTACAAAATGCATAATTTAATTTTTCACACAGATAAATGATTTATAGATTTGTTAGATATTAAATCAAAAATAGTTATCAACACTTATAGTGACAGACTCTGATAATTGTGGCATTAGATGTAATTGTTAAACTGCAATGGAAAAATGACTTGCTCTGTAGTTGTATGAAAAAGTATCTGCATTAATTCTGAAGCGACTGACTGGGCCATTGCTGCCCATTGACGTTATTTTTAGCCATTTTATTTTAGATTTGCAGGTTTTCTCGGACAAGTTTCGCACACACTTTTATTCTCTGAGACTGAAACATACCTTGCGTGTGTGTTCAGCGTCACACACATTTCTCATCTCACTCTCATTGCAGGTGTGAAAACTTGCGAGTGTTCAAGCTCGGGCTGATTTCTGGGATCTGGTGGGCGCTGGCTCTGCTCTGCTGGATCAGCGACAGGATATTCTGTGAAATGTGGTCGTCGGTCAACTTTCCCTACTTACACTGTGCTTGGTGAGCTCAGAGTCAAGTCGGAGAACGCATGCTGTTTATTATCTGGAAAATCAAAGTTAATCAAAAATTTAAAGACTAATCGCACATCAGCCTGAACACACCATCCCAATTGTAAAACCTGGTGGTTCTCTGGGGGTTGCCTTTTTGATGAGAAGATGCAAGTAGCTAAAAATTCGGATCAACAACAGTTTAGATCAAACCATGTTAATGTGACAGAATGGCCTCATCAAAGTTAAGACTCAAATTCAACTGAGAATTTGTGGTGACGGATGGTCTTGATCCAATCTAAGCTCGAGTTGTTATACAAAGAAGAAAAAAGTCAGTTTGTTGATATGCTTCTATTCAAAACCCATACAGACATACCACAGGCAATTTATTTTGCAGTGGATTTTATTTTGGAGTATCAATACACCAGATATTTCGGCTTTCGACTTGTAAAGCAAATAAATGAAAAGGAAACATTTAAAGCCGTCTAGGATTTTCCTTTCAGTTCAGTCTTGCAGTAGTTTATCACAGTGAGACGAATTGAGCTGCTTGCCTTTTCAAGGTCCTTTAAGAATGTCAGAATGTTAGACTGTAAAGAAAAATGCATTGTTGAACATAGCATTGCCTTACTGGTACTGCTCCTGCTCTCTCAGGCACATCCTCATCTGTCTGGCCTCCTACTTAGGCTGCGTCTGCTTCGCCTACTTCCACGTGGCGACTGAGGCGCCGGAGCAAGGCCCGGTCATCATGTTCTGGCCCAACGAGAAGTGGGCCTTCATCGGCGTGCCGTATGTTTCGTTACTCTGCGTCCACAAGAAATCGTCCATCAAGGTGACTTAAGGTGGCCTTAGAAGTACTCAGCTCTACAGTTTTAACACCAGCATGATACGGCAGTCCGTCTGCGAGTCGTGTTGCCCCGCATCGTGTTCTCTTTGATTTGACCGGTAGATGCGATGCACTTGTTCAAAGAGTATAAACTTTTTCCTGCTCTGGAATCCTCTTTGAATCCTGACAGAGCAGGGATTTATGCAACTTTGATGTCATTAGTTTGTGAAATATGCTGCAGGGTATCTCCTTAAATAACATATCAAAGCCAACAAACCTTTATAGTGTTCTACACCTATACTCAGGCTTTGCATGAGACGTCGTGTAACCATCTCAGAGTGATAGTGTTGCAGTTAACTATCTGTAGATTTTCTAAACTTTGGAAGACCTCAGTATTAAGCGTTATGCTGCCTCAATAATTATTAATATAGCAACTCGTCGGTGCCAGGTTTAGTAACAGTAATTTCACCACATGTAACTATTATAAAACCAAGCCAGTCACAGAAGACTCTGAAATTATAAGCTGGTTCCCAACAAGAACATAATTAACATCAAGCCTTAGGCCTCTTTTTAGCCTTTAGATGTGTTCCTTTCTTCAAGCATGCTACCCTGATAGTAATTTTGCTATATTTTGCAAAATATCAATGCAATACTCAGTTATTTTCCAAAGAACATGTGTTTCCTTTATTCTTATAGAAGTTGGTACCTTTAATTGTGGTGAACACAGTATATTGTCAAGAAACAGAAATAGTTAGATTTTTATATCGGAACATGGTTTCTAAACTATTTTCCTCAAAAATTAGTCTTGTAATGTTAGTATTTTAGAGTTAACCAGGTTTATTATACTTCATTTCAAATTAAGATATTTCATATAGTGGCTACTCCTCAAGGCTAAGGTAATATAAAATTGTGCAAAGACATTTCAGCCAAGATATTAAGATACATAAAATGGAATAGTAATTGCAAGTGAATGTGCATTGTTTCTGTAAGTTTGAGCACGTTTGTAGAGAGGAACAACTTTTTTTTTTTTTTTTTTTTACTTTATCCATTATACCAAAACTATGTAGGAGTCATTATTGAAAAAAAATGCCAATGTATGAAATAGAGGGATGTATTTTTGATGTTTCTAAATCAAATGCCAATCCCAAAGGATAAGAACTGTTTACGGTTTTTCTTCTCAAATATTTGTTTGAGTGTCAACGCCTCACACTGTTTGACTTTTCCACTCAAACTGCATGCAAAGATTTTGAGCAACTAAAGATGTCAAAATAAGTTGTGCAATCATAAAAGGTCGATGAAGGGTTACAATTTTCAAAAACCCGACAAAAAAGATTCTGAGACAATATTTTTTTCAGAAAATAATTTGTTGTTGAGCTATTTGTCGTTTCAATTTCCATTTTACAGTGTTTCTGCTTTTTGTTCTGCTAGACTTTGTTTTTGAGAGAAACCTTAGGGAGGATTGATGACGTGAAGAGATACCGATAGTACCTGCAGTGTAATGCACAACACGCTGAATAATACAGGTGGCTGAAAGTGATGAGTTCATTGAGTCCTGCAGTGAAAGTGAAAACACTCATGCCATAAGAAGCGAATCGGCATCACACATTAAGCAGCCAGTGTAAAGAAAGCAGGGCTTTAAATGCTGCTTTCTGCATTGTGATGCTTGACAATAAGGAAGGATTGTTATTGGCTCAAATCTGTATGAATCTCAGTGTTTCTCCACTTGCATTCTTAATACAGATAAGTTGCACAGAAATATTTATTTTCATAAATTATCCTGTTTTGTACACAAACATTTGTAGCAGATTAGAGTTTTGATATTTTCTGTAATAAACGAAGCAAATTTTGAACATGGCTACTGTTGTGTTTATTGTCCAACTGCTGACTCATACAGTTTGAATATTATGGTAAATGTAAATAAGTTGCATTGTGGCTTATTTTAGTGTAATTGAGACGAGCCTTTTGACACCTTTGTAAGTCAGGTTAACAACTCTATTCTCTACTTACGACAGTTAAATGTTTCTGAAACGGTGGCAAATAATTTTGGTGTACCTGAAGGTTCTACATTGGGTTCTCGTTCTCGGCTTGATATTGACTTCTACAGTTCTGGAAGGACTAAGGACTGCGTGGGGTTTGTAAAAACAACTGTCCAAAACTCACATTTATGATTTCAATAAGAGATTAACGGCTTAACTGAGATGCAGATAACAGAAGCTGCCACTAGACGGCGGCGTTGCTACGTGTTCGAAACTCGTACAATCGGCTTATTATTCAGTGAATCATTACAGCCTCAGGATTCTTACAACCTACACTGTAAAGGTTTTAATGAATCTACTTTCTATTACCGTACAATAATAAGTTGCTTACCGTAGTATAACACTAAAACAGAAAACGATGAGCTCAGATGGAATAAAGGACCTAAATTCCGTATTCCTGTCAAAGAAAAAGCACAGATCCACTTTATAAATGTAAAAAAAAAAACATCCTAGAAGATTTACTGTGCGTCATATGATTTTCAGTTTAAAATTACAATCCATCTTTGTAGGACAGTGTGTTCTTTGTTAAAAATAACGTCACAGCTTGAAGTAATAGCCCAAGTTATATTTTTATTAACAACAACAATACTACTACTACTACTACTACTATTGATAATAATAGTCACTATCAATAATTATAAGTATTATTACTAATAATTATTAAATTATTAATAATAATACAATTATATATATTAATATAATTACTGGTGATGCAGAACATATCTGTAATAATAATAATAGTCATTATTATTAGTTGTTGTAGTAATAATAATAATAATAATAATATTGTTATTACTACTACAATTATTACTATTATACAATTATGGTTTGATAATTTGAAACATTTAAGTGTGACAAAAAGATAGCTATATGATGATGATGATTTATCATTATTATTATTATTATTATTATTATTATTATTATGTAGTTCAAGTAAATTAACAAAATGTAACAAAAATAAGACATTTGGGAACAATATTCATAGACATGAATACGTATTTGCGATATCCCACATTAGACCTTGGGCCCAAGAGGAAGTCCCGCCCTCTCAAGCACCAGCACAATCTGATTGGCTCCCAGAAATGCCCCTCAGATGACAACCGCTATGTCTTTGGTCTGAACTACGGGTCAGCTGGGGGACCACCATCTCTAACCAGGCTCTCACAGTGGACTCACTCAAGCTGTCCTCTTTGTGTGTCCTGAGTGGGTATGTTTGGACCCTTGACAGACTGACCGACCGCCCTCCGCAGCTCCATCTGCGCCTTTTCTCCGCGGAGACGCAGAATGATGCTTCCAATGAGCCGCTGAAATTTGGAGCCATTAAAATCATTAAAGGGTGTTTCCACCCGAGCCACCAGGTTGTTGTCAAACACCAGAGAAGCGTCGATGCGAATCCTTCCAGCGTTGCGGACGAGACTCTGAAACCGAAGCCGTCCAGATGATGTCAGGGAAGCATTTCAAAGCTCAGGAAGTGAGCTGCTGCATCAAGTATTTCATTTTTGGATTCAACATCATATTCTGGGTGAGTCCCGTGTTTGCTGCCCAGACCTTCTCTCTAAATGCACTGTGTCTCTCGCGGCTCTCGGCGTTGTGTTGACGAGCTGTTGGATAGGACAGGTTTTTTTCTCGCGCACTTGCTCCCTTTGTCACCCATCAGCACGCCTTCACTTTTGTTTGATTGCGGCCGCAAAGATAATGTTTGTGCAGGGAAAAGTGCGCTCAGACCTGTCAACGCCTCTGGACGTGCTGTGCAGCAGCGTGGAGCTCTCACGAATGAAAACAAACACATCATGCAACACTTCGCCGTGGGCCTCCAGGGTCAAACATCACCTTACTTAGTGGTGTTATGTTTGAAATAATACTGGCTTTATTGAGATGTGTTGATCAGAAAGGGCATTTACTGACAAGATAGATAAGAACTGGGTTCAACATGACAATATTTCCCCTTTAGATGAAACAGTTGGTTCTATCAAACGAGCGTCTATGTACAAAGCTTACCTAAAAACTTAAGACAGTTTTCCAGGTGTATTTATTGTTTCTAATTATTTCATAAATATGAATTTGTTGAGTGTGTGCTGTCTTAAAGATAAAAAAATATGGCCTGCATTTGTCTTTTGCCTAAGAGATCACCTATTGCAGCTGTTACAACTGCAGATCTGTGAGGGATATCTCTACCAGCTATGCACATCTGCTGATTATATATATATATATATATATATATATATATATATATATATATATATATATATATATATTTACCAGTCTTCTTTGCAAAACAACTCAAGCTCAGTCAGAGAGGATGAAATCTCTGTGAACAGTTTCACAGGTTTTATAAACCACAGATTCTCAACTGAATTAAGGTCTGGACTTTGAGTAGGCCATTCTAATGTACTATGTGTGCTTAGACGTAAATATTTGCATTGAGATTTTGGCTGTATGTTAAGGGGTGTAGTCATTCTGACTACAACTGCAACAATTCACAGTAGGCGTTGCAATATCTGTCTGTGGAATATTGCAATAGCCATATTTTATGTATCATGCACCAGGTGATCAGGTCTGGAACCTGATTTATAGTTTTAGTGGCTGAGATACCAAAGCTCACAGAGAAGAGTGATGCCATTTTTTAGTGATAGAAATAAGTCAAGAAAATGCAGCTTAATGCAAATCATATCTATGTTTTTACGGTTTGACCTATCTTAACCCTGAGTTAAGGCAGATGTGGCCTGTTTCTTTTTCCAGAGCGTTTGTTGACCTAAATTCACACACTGATCGAAAAGTGTCCAACAGACTTTACATGTTATCACAAATCCCACTCCAAGATAAATAAATCCACTAAAATTATCACTTTGAAGTATAAAGAGTTTTTTTTCTGTTAGAATTTTTTTTTTTTTTTTTTTAGAAAAACTGTTTCTAATTACCTTATTTTGAGGTGGATTTATGAATCTTGAGTAAACTCTTCATTAAAATTGATGATCTGGGAATCTGCTGCTAATTTTATAATGCTTCACCATCTGGGTATTCCTCCTTGGTTTTGCTCTTTTATATCTTGTAGTATTTTTTCAATCAAATTCAAAAATGCTTTATTGATGCAATAATAAATTGCTATCTGAAGAAATCAGTAGCCAGGTCAGACCTAAAAGAAAATTGAAAGTCTGTATCAGCCTTTTGATTGGTCCAGCTTCATTTCAGGTACAACATTGGACAGTGCTGCAATTTTTTTAAACACAGTCTTGTAAAAATATGCTTGACCTGCTATATGGAGAACTTTATGTTCAGAAAAAAAGATAAATAGCAGCTGGACAAAAGCCCTGGGACAGTGTAGTTTAGGTAGAAAATTTAAACGTAGTTTAAACAATGAGTCACTTCCGACTAGCATCAATTTTTTGAGGAGACCTGGCCAAGATGGCACACAATTATTATCACCATCCATGTTCTTGAGCCTAGACAAAAATCATGTTCAGGCCTATAAAAACCCATAAAACCTTGATAATTAATGTTGGCTTGATATGTTGATAACAACGTCTGGAATTGTATATTTAGGCTCTCTTGGATAACATAAAACCAGACACAGTGTAAACAAAGGAGCTTGTCAGTGATTAACTCCACATATGGTAAATGGCCTGCATTTCTACAGCACTTTGTAAAGTCAGAGGACTCCAAAGCACTTTCAGACAATTAACCCATTCACACACACACACATTCACACACAAATGGTGGCAACAGCTGCATTATAGCCACAGTTTCCCTTTCGGCAGACTGACAGAAACGACCATCAGCAGGCAGTCGCCATCGCCCTCAACAATAA